AAAAAAAATTAAAGTTTGCCCTTAATTAACTTGTTAGTCTATTTGTGCACTTTACAATGCTTAAATAGCAAGTTCATTATTGCAAACGATGTTTTGTTAAAAGCGAAAAAATCCCTATATTTTTTCTCAATGTTAGCCGCTAAGCCACCAAGCTGGGTATGAAGCAGTTATGGCCACACTGCTGCACTACTCACTCGCGCTTTCTAGTGCTTCTTATGCTCCCAGTTATTTTCAATATAAATGAAAGCTTTTTTGGTTATGAAATACTCATTGTCTGGTCCAATGCTTTCTACGGTACGATTTGCTGAAGGGAAGTGCGCACTAGGGAGTTTGTTGTCTGTCTACTGTCACATTATTTCTCGCCTGCATCAGCTTACGGGGCGCCTCACCCGAGTAGATGCCTGAAGTAGGAAGGGATTAAAAGTGCAGTAGAAAAGAAGTCCAACAGATATTGGCCGATAAAAGATCCAGCCTAAGACAGGTGATGACATGTGACCGGTTTCACAAAACTAAAATTAAATTGTGTGGTCTGCGTAATACCAACAGCCGGTAATTAGGCCGTGAGGAAGTCGGCACAACTTTTATCAAATGCGCCGAGTAAGTGCAGGAAAGTATATGACATGACGATAAGAGGGAGGATCCGAACGTAGGGTAAAGCCATGGGGTGATCTAAATGGTTGAAAGTTATTCCTGCGTCCATCAGCGACGATTAGGCGGTGGAGGCTCTATTCTCTGGTTGCAACCGTCATTCAGCTCGTGCGATACCTGGATTGAGCACAACATATTTCGATATTGTACAAGTTATTAATAATTCTCACGACAAAGGTAAACTTAGTCGACCATTTTTAAAGTGAATAGCCTGTATACTAGCAGCTCATTTGTGCTTAGGAATCTTTGGTAAGGGACTCACCAAAATTTGCTCCCCAAATTTTATAGGCTCTAAAGTCCTGATTCAGGCTGGATATGCCATGCTCATTAACTAAAAAAGTGGCTCTGACTGACAGACAGAGGCAACGATGTAAAATAAAAAGTGAATGCATGGCTGCTCCATCACGTCCCCACCCACTCACATTGCCGATCCATTGGCGTCGCATCCAGACAGTCCAAATGACATAACTCCTCTAGGCTGCATTGAACAGGAACGATGGGCGGTTCAGGAAGGCTACGAACACGACACATCAATGTTTCTATCGTCGTTGAACCACGGAATGTCTCGTCCACCTAATCTAAATGCGCCGCTTAGAGTCGGGTGCTTTGGTGCCACGGGCGAAACCGGAGGTGGAAAAATCTTGCAATGCTACACTGGGTCAACTACGTGGGTCTACTCATCTAGCATCCTCTGGGATACCATGGCTGCTACCCGTGTTTATGCACCTGTGCTCTGTGTAGCCGAAAAGGAAGTCGGTGAAACCGAACGAGGAGTTGTTCTCACTCACGTAATGGGGGTAAGAGTATGGATGAGGGTCCAGATGCCAACACTGGGACACCCAGATAGCTCAGTTATTTAAGGCATCAGTCTCATAATCCGAAGGTCGCAAGTTTTAGTCTCTCTCCGAGCATGAACTTTTACTCTCCAATGCATAGCTCCTGTGGTTGCGCTTGCGCCCGCTTGCCCAAGACACTGACTGGCGATACCGAGGAGAGGTGAATAAACTGTTGGATTGACACTAACAGAACACCCACGGTGGGACTCAAACCCACAATCTTCTACTTAGGAGGCAGACGCCTAATCCATTGCGTCACGTGGGCTCACTCCGCCAGCATCCTTGTTGACAAATCCCGCCAGCTGCCCTGTCCACTCCCATTACCTCGATGATACAGCCACTGCCACCTTAAACTTTTAACGGTACAGGGTAAGTCACGGATTGCAGCCTCTTTGATTTGTCATTGATTGTCATTACGCAGAGATACTCTAGATGTGCCAATAATCATGCCATGGTCAAACCCATTGAAGCTACTATCAATAAGTACGAATGTTGCCTTTAAAACTCAGCACACACGACTTCCACATTAAAGATTTCGTCATTTTTCAAAGTCACTTTCCTGATTACTTCAGTGGAATCTTGGCAGCGTATATGATCATACAAATAAAAATCAGTGCAAAGAGTGGCCGACAACAAAATGTCTCCACTACGGATCAATTTGAAATGACTGATGTATGTATGTGCACAGGCACAACCGAGTTGCAGTCTAGTAGCACAAATAAAATGGCACCCAGAACCAGCATTAACGAGTGTGTGACAAAATTTGATCTGCGTACAAACCCCACTGCCCACCTGTACGCATACATCTGCACCAGTTGATTTGAGTGATAAGCTAGCCAACTTGCCTCACAAGTGTCTACATTGACAGTGGAATAAATCATTAACGAACAGTGTAGACACTCGGTTTCAATTACGGCCTGCATATTTTTGAGGAAAAGCGAAAAAGCAAATTCTGCTAGATTTTATCTAGAACCTGACTGTGATCACTGGTAGGGTCAGCGGTAAATGGCATTAGGTTCATGCAACAAATGTACATTTGAAGTAAATGGAAATATTGGCGTAGGGACTGCCTGTGTACTTTGCACATGTGCTTTGTGAATTCGTTTGACTGTTTAAAAATCTGCTCCTAATTAAGCAAGTTGAAGTATGTGAATTACCCCTCTTACCTCACCTATATCGATGTTAAAGCAGTTGCCTTACCTCTTCTGATGGTTCCAATCCCACTTGGGGTGTGTGCTTTTGCGTGTGTGTGTGCTCGTGCATGGGTGCGCGGAGATGTGACTGCCAGCAATTTGCGATTTCGTGGGGGTGAGGTGCTCCCACACTCTCATCCGACCCACTGATGACGTTTCATATGCTTGACATTTGTCTATCTTGCCCTCTCCTTAACCCCGTCTAGTCGATTTCCTTTGACCACAATTCAATTGGTAATTCTCAAGCTCCTATTAGCCTACTCTTATCACCACTTAGCCACAGTGCTCTTTACTCACATGCGGACCTGCCCTATCTCACCTTTACCTAGCTCGTCACCTCACCCATCACGTCACACAATTTTTCTCCTCTGCTCAGCTGAGCTTCCTACTCTATGGGACAACACACGTCGCCCTTCGCTTTCGCAAACAAATTTGGCAAGTTGAGGAGGAGGAGTGGTGGAAGCAGGAGTGAAATACATCAGCTATGACGATGCTGCTACCAGTAGCGTAGTGACAGCAACAGCAACCATAGGTGAAGTGAAGGAAAAGGGCGAGCGATGAGTAGTAATGTAAGTGTTAATTGTGCTGTATGCATGCAATGGCTGGAGGGAAGCAGGGAGAATAAGAAGCACAGAGTTCTGACCCCGAAGTAATTTAAACATGCAACATTCTGACATGAGGTCATGTGCCCTACCGTTGAGCCGTGTAGTCACATCACCATCACTACCACCACCGAATGCCCCAGCTGCACGCCCAGTCAGTACAACACTAAATTATTGCTGTGCCTATGCTTGAACACCTCAGCACCAACACATGCAGCACTGCGCCTTCCTGTACTGCAATATAGAAGACGGCAATGATATGGAGACACACATCACACCCGTGTACCAATGGTCCCAGTGAACGAGACTAAAAGCCCGCCTTGCGACTGCTGAAAACATCTACCCTTCCCTCGCTCCCCTCACTACCACCGCACTTCCATCCACTTGCATCCAACTGCACGGGATGGCACCAAACCGAATGCAATTACACAACAGTAAAACAAACATTATGCATCGCATCACACACGAACCGTGTCTTGGCGTGGTGCGGTGCCACACTACATCATTTGTGGAGAACAACGGGATACATGGAAGCTCAGAGGCGTAAATCATGAGGGTTGGTATTTAACGAGCGCCGCTTAGCCCTCCTTTCCTCCCTTGTGGCCAAAATGCAACTCTTCACGAGCATGCTGGCTCTTCTATCTCGTCTCCTCCTCACTCGTCACCCCCTCTCCTCCCTTTCTCTCCTCAGCGGTGCTCTGTTTCCTAAGGAAACAACATGGCTGAGGTATTTTAGACATTTTCTTGGGAATGGATTTTAGTGAAGTAAGCTTTCTTAAAACATATTCTGCGATTTTTACTGCCCATATCCTGGCTGAGATCATCTGTGCTCGACTTTAATGGGAGGCGGCCCTTGTACTATATCTGTTAATACATCCTATTCTCATACATCACTACTTCCTTCGCCGTTTCTTCTTCCATTTAAAACTGTCTTATCATAGCCTACTCTGAATTTTTACGTTTTTAAGTAGGTTTAATTAACTATTTGAAAAAATGATTCCTCTTTTGGAATATGCAATTTCTCATTAGTATTCTCACCAACTTACCAAATGTCAATATTTTCCATTTCGACATACTTCACCATTGATGCATCCTCTTTCGTTATCCTCAGGCATTTCCTTCGTCTCTTTAATCTCACTATTGTTAAGAGAAGCAGCAGTAGAACAATGATTGACACAATTCTCATTCCTGACACATGCTTTTATTCTGTGGTGGTTTTTTGCTGTGTTTCAATAAAACCAAAGCCACATATCAGACAAATTTCATTTTCATATAGGGAAAGTTTTAAAGCAATGCCGAGAAAACGAAATGGCTACATGGACGGGAGCTCTTCTCAATGTAACGGGTCTTGGTGAAACTTTCGTGTGATGAAAACAGATTCCGATGAAAATAAATCCGGTATTCCCTGGCCCATTGCTCGCACTTGACTCATTGAAGAAAAGGTGCATTTAAGGTTATAAGTTAGAAATAAGTCAGCCTTATGCATAGATAAATTGACTACGCCATGGTTGGTTGATGATTGTAAGCAAAAATTGGGTAGGTAAGATGGCAGACCAGTGGCGCGTTTGTATTTATGAGCTCAGAATTAGCAGCATTGAAGAATGAACAAAAGCAGGACAGATATA